TGTGTAGGATGTAAAAATGGGTGTGCAAATAGCACTATCCTATCTTTAATTTTATAGTTGAGCTAGTTCCGCCTTTTCTAATATAGCATTAGTACTAGACTACTAGTTAGTTGTAACAATATTAGCCACAATACAACGGAACATTTAATGAAACCTTTTAACCTTGCTTCCTCTGGTTAAGGTCAATATTTTGTGTTCCCCCTTTTTTGTTTTAAACATTACCAATCAGTTGTTGACTAGATCCAAATTTAGCAGTTGGAATTGGTCAAACTAACACCGCATGGTCAAATCCTTTCGGGGATGCTAGGCCACAGACACCAACTGGCACAGCTAGAAGTAGCTATCCAGAGTTGGAAGGAGCATTTGGTGCCATGCCGCAGGATAGCAATTTACTGAATCAGTTAATGCAAAATCCAGCAGTTTCTCAAATAATGCAAAGCCTCCTCTCTAATCCTCAGTATATGAACGAGGTATCGTTTTATTCCCTATTGATAGAATAAGCTTGATGATGAAATTTATTTTTTCTTAACATTATTTGACTGCAGATTCTAGGTTCTAACCCCCAGTTACGCAGCATGCTCGATACCAATTCTTCTTTAAGAGAAATGATGCAAAACCCGGAATTTCTTCATCACTTGGATTCTCCTGAGACAATGCAGGTAAATTTATTCAGGGTGCCTAATGTTTTGAATTTTGAAGTTTTTGTTTGTCCAAGCTGCCCAATTCAGTCAAATCTTGTCAATATGAATCAATAGTAATTCTTGTCGTTGTGGTTCTGAATGATTTTAATTTGGGAGGCAATGTCCTTAATGTTTGCATGAGTAATGATGTGCGTTGGATGTCTTCTTGAGTAGTGGTGCCTATTTAATTTTTGCTTCTGTATTGCCTTTGGTTTTACTTTTCTATCATGCAGATGCTCTTGACTTTGCAGCAATCACTTCTGTCGCAACTTGGTCGGCAACAGCAACAGTCAACCCAGTAAGAAGTGACATAATTTTGTATTTGATACGTCTAATAGATATAGCCTGAATTGATATATCTCCCTCAGCTGCCTGAGGGTTCCATATAGACCACTATGGATCAGTTATGCAACTCGATTGAATTTGAAACTGTATGTCAAGAGTTCTTGGCCAGTTGAGTTAGACTATTTAATTTGTTCCTTTACTAAGCGTTGTATTGCTACTGTACTTTGGTTTGTCCTGGCTTGGATTTCGTTGTTAAACAAGTTGGGTAAATGATCATTGATTCACAGCTTGCAATACCATATGAAGTCACTAGTTTAGAAATATTGGCGCAGGGTAATTGAATCAACTCCTATTGGAGATAAGAAAGAACATAACTGTGCATGTTCATTGCTTAGGCTTTCGTCTTTTCATTGCTTGTGTTGATGCAGTCACTGATTGATGAATGACAAGCTATGGAGAAAGGTTGATGTAAGGTGAATGACAAGCTATGGAAAGTGATTGGTGAATGACAAGTTATGGAGAAAGGTTGATGTAAGGTGAATGACAAGCTATGGTGAGGATGACAACTTATACATACAACCCATCCATACAAACCGGTTTCAATAGATTGCTACTGATGTTTGGTGTGTCTTGGCTTGGATTTCGTTGTTAAACAAGTTGGGAAATGGTCATTGGTTCACTGCTTGAACAATACCATATGCAGTCACTAGTCTAGAAATATTGGCGCAGGGTCATTGAATCAACTCCTATTGGAAATAAGAAACATCTAACTGTGCATGTTCGTTGGTTAGGCTTTCGTTTTTGCATTGCTTGTGTTGATCAGCTGTCATTACTGGTTTTTTCTCGTTGAGTTGTACTAAATTCATGTTTACTTGCAGCTTGCAGGGCGCCAGGTCAGACTGGTGCAGGAACAGGTATCCAAGTCGATATCCATTTTATTTGTCTTTATTTCGAACTATGGGTACTAGGGGTTTGGTGAAAACTTGGGACAGAGTGGGTTTTCGTTTCTGATTTTCAATGAATGAAAAACATGCTGGAAGTGAGATTCCAGAAGCAGGTTATGGTAACAACCTAATCTAAAAGAGTACACTCGCGTATTCTGTTTTAAGGATATTCATTGTGGTAATTGGTCGCATGTTAATGCATTCGTTGAAACAGGATTATTCAATAACATGGGGTTAGACACGCTGATGAACATGTTTGGCGGGCTTAGCACTGGCAGCTTGGCTGTTCCCAATCCGCCTGATGGCTACCACTTACCTTTCATTTCTTATATAGAAGGATTTCTTTTGTTTGGTTTGTATTAATTATAAGAAAAACTAATGAAAAGGGTTTGAAAACTTTGAGTTTTAATGATAAGGACAAAATAAAAGGTAAAGTGAATAGTACCAGGATTGACTTTTTAGTGTAAAAATGTGGTTTTTCGTTAAAATGAACAGTACCAGGTGCTTTTCGTTAAAGTTCCCTTAATTATATGCCGTGTATTTCAGTGCCTCCGGATGAACTCTATGCTGCGCAGCTTTCCCAACTTCAGGAGATGGGTTTCTTTGACCGACAAGAGAACATACGGGCTCTGATGGCCACCGCAGGAAATGTCCACGCAGCAGTCGAGCGGCTTTTGGGGAATTTGGGCAGATAGGTTATATTTTCAATGTTTCCATTTATCTGGTTCTGTCCATGTGGTGCCTGCCGAGATTAGTCATGTTAGACCTGAGAATCTGAGATGTGATATTCTGACTATACGAGCCCTATGTTAGTGGCGGCGCAAATCTATGGTCATCGGATTATGGTCTCCTTCCTCGGATGCCTGGCAGTCCCGAGTGTACATAAGAAAAAGAGAAATTGTTTACCACATGAATGGTTTGGAAAAGTTGTGTACTTAGGAGATATTTCTTGCACTTTTCAAGTATTTGTAGGTAGACATAGCTGTTTAGGGCCTGTTTGGTACTCTACTTGAATTCAACTTTTTAAACTAAAAAACAATTTTCAAGTTTTAGGCTTTAGGCTTTAAAAACTTGTTTGGTATGACTATTTTCAAAAACTAAACTCAAGACTAGCTCAAAAATATAATATATTCTCTAAATACATAAAAAGTGAGTTTTTAGGGTTTTTAAACTTAAATTGACTAATTTCTTTTCTCTCACTTCTCTCCTCAATCCAAATCTATCTCTCTTTTCTTCTTTCTCTCTCCTTTTTTTTTTCACAAACCAATCAAGTTTTTTAGTCCTAAAGAAAATTATTTTTAAGAAATGTTTTAAAAAATGATAAAAAAAATGAATAGGTATCAAACAGACCCTTAAATTTCCATGTGTTTTCCCCCTTTCTTACCCAAAGAAAATGTCAAATTCTAACAAACAAATTACAATTGATGCTCATGTGGCAATCTGAAGTCTTATATCAAATTTTGTACTTCTTCAACCGAAATGTCAAATGTTATTTTCTTATTAATATAGAGCTTTAAATGGTTGTATTTATTAAAAAAATTAAAAAAATTATTGGGTAAAATGTTAGTGAAATAAGGGATTCACTATTAAGATTAATTAAAATAAATTTAACATTGATATCAATTTTGACTTTTAATCACAAAAATTTCAAATTTAGTCAGCAAATAAGTTTAGTCATATTTTCAAATAATTAAAGAAAATTTAATAACAGCTCAAATATTTGGGCTTGGATCAAAGTACCTTGCTAGAGAACTCCATTTTTTTTGGTAGGCCATGCTATATATTGTATGTGAAATCCAATTATATTAATTGAGTGTAAAACAGTTTTGTGTCTAAATAACATTGCTCCTCTCTAAGAAATACATGGAATTAATTCAACAACTTCCTATGTTTACTTAATCCTAATTAGTTAAGTTAATCGAATTGTTAATGACCTAATCCAATTCAACCAAACATGAGTTGTAGTAGATTTTCTATAAGAAATTACATGCAGTAGATTAGTCGTACATTGTACTTGAATTTAGCGACCTCATCATTTCCAAAGTTATTTTTATTTTTATTTGGATAATGTTCACCAATGACATTTTTGAAATGAGGGGCTTGTTACTCATTTACTAGTTTGGATCTTCGCCGGATCCTCTTTGTGAGGCTTCTAAGAATTCGTGAATCGTGTCCGTTCATCGTACATCGTATGGTTAAAAATCATTTTAAATATTTTTATTTAAAAATAAACATAAACAGTACTTGACAAAAACTGATCGCACGATGTACGATGAACTGATACAATTCATAGGATCGTCACCAAAAGGATCCGAAGAGGATCATGTTGGCTCATTTACAAAATACAAGTTAGGTCTTGATAACGATAGTGTGACCGCCGCTTTGCACTCAAATTTAAATCTATATTCCCGTAAATTAGAACAATATATTCTTTAAATAAAAAATTACATGCTCACCAATCTCCCAAATTTGAATTAGAGGTGCAATGTATCCCAGATTGTTAGAAACAAATAATCCAGGTTAGATTTTGGCTCACATATGAACAAATATGGAAGCCGTTTCATGATTAACTTTTCAGGTTTTCTCTTGCATGTCATACCATATTTGCCCTAATGTCAATATATATGTTTCGTCGGAGGACTCGGACCTCAAGGTCAAAATCGTCATTTCGTTCACTGAAGCTTCGTTCCCTCTCACCAACCGGTACAGTTCCCTTCTCCTTGGAAAGCCACCCAATCGTGATATGCATTGTGGCGGCGCCTTCATGCATGAAAACCACCGAGCACCAAGCACCGTTCGATGGGTTTACACGCGAACATCAACGGCCGATGTTCAAAAAACACGACCCTTGGTGCAAATGTCGCGCTGCATATGATTCCCAGAAGTTACCATTTTTCAGAGACGAAGAGTCGCATGCATTGCAGTTTGCAGTGAGTGCCCTTCGAAGATTGAGACGCATCTTTTTGTACAGAACAGTGCCAATCTGGAATTTCCGAGAACCCTAATTATATAAACTTCTTCCGCAGGACATGATGAACACTTTGCCGTTCGGACAGTGTTTCTTTCTCTCTCTCAAGTGACAAATATCAGTATGACTAACCCCAAGGACACCACCACCGCCACCAACCAGGGCTCCTCCGCCGAGGGACAGCAACCACGTAACGAGAACATTAGCTCCAACGTTACTGGGGCTGCTCCTACTGGACCACCAAGTCCTCCTGCGCCGACTCCTGCTCCTCCTAGCACTGGTCAAGTCAATGTGGGATCAGGATGGTTCGGTGGATTCGTTGTCGGGGGGTCCTCTGGGTCTCTTCCTGTTCGTACTCCTCCTACCTCTGGTCAATTCAATGTGGGAGGAGAGTCTGCTACCGGAGGGCCCTCTCTGACTCCTTCTACACCCAACAGAGGACTTCCTGGTCGTGCGTCATCCTCTCCTGGTAGGGGGACATCCACCCCAAGAAGGGGCGCACGCTCTGGTGGCCGGAGGACTCCAGGCAGGGGATCACCCTCTGGCGAAAAATCTCCTCCTGGCGGGAGAGGATCGCCCTCTTTTTTAGGGAGAGGGTCGTCCTCAGCCCCTCCTTCTGCAGCGGGAAGCATCACTCAAATTGGTGGGAGTAGTTTTGCTCCCGTCAGCGTTGAAATATCTTTAGGAGGGGGACTTGCGGCAGCGGGGAGCATGGCCGCCGGTGGCCAGCCTGGCAAGCGCAAAGCCGAAGTCAATGCCCCGGAAGGAGTGACTCCGACTTGCCCCGTATGCAAACGGTCGGATTTCAGTTCGTGGAAAGCATTGTTTGGGCACCTGCGTAGCCACCCAGAGCGTGGCTATAGGGGCGCCTTCCCACCCCCAGGACACCAACAAGGTAATTAATTAGTTTGCCCTAATCTAACAATTAAGTGGCAACGAAATTAACTTTTCATTTTGTTGTTTAATTTGCTTGTATCATAGATGATGATATTGGGATATAATTATATCAACATTGTTTATGTTGTGTACGTAGAGGAAGCAAGTAATGCTGCTGCTAATGTTATACGTGGATTCGATCTCAACGAAGCCGTCGATGTGGAGGAGGACAATGAAGGCGGCGGTGGATTCGACCTGAACATGCCCGCGGCGGAGGATGATCATGGTGTTCCTGATGACAATGTGGATGGTGGTGACGCTGGTGGTGCTGCTGAGGCTTAGAAAATTACTTATATATAGTATATCATGGATTGTAGTACTAGTAAGACAGTGCATTTTGGTGATTAATGGCAGGAATTAGGGTTAATGCCTTTAGAAGTATGAGATTCCGATATTAATGAAGTGTTTAACTAATCTCTAATGATAATTATGAAATTAAGTTCGATTCATGTGTGGGAAGTTTGAATATATCTTTGTTGATGATATATATGTTGTTTCTCCGTTTTTTTAGTATTATGCTTGTTACGTACTTACGTCATCTAATTTTAGTACTTATCATTCCGTACAAAATTTTAAAAGTACATTATGGTGCATGGAAGTGTAGGATCAAATCTGAATTCGAATCTTTAAGGCTGATTTGAAATTGCATTTAAAATTGTTGAAAGCACTCTTCTCCATGAAATCATAAGTTATGCTCCTAGCCTCCTAATATGTGATATAGATAATCAAATACAATTGCATGTGCAAGCATTTTAAGGGTGTTTATCTACCTACATCATAGACTTTAATTTTTAATTTTAGTTTTTTCCCTCCGCCATAAGTTAATTGTACTTATCATCCTATGTTGTAGGGAATCCGGATCCTCGTTAGATCCTCTTTGTGAGGATTCTGAGGATTCGTGAATCATATCCGTTCGTTGTACATCGTGCGATCAGAAATTATTTTAAATATTTTTAATTAAAATTAAATACAAACAGTACCTGACAAAAAACTGATTACACGATGTATGATGAACATACACGATTTACGGTGATAAGTATATTTGGAAGCTCCCTTGATGACATTCTAATCTTTATATAGTCAATGATCTAAATGATGGACCTAATCGAAACTTTTCGTATATATATTCAATGTGTGTGTATATATATATATATCTAGTTATGAATAATAACAAAGATACAAGGGAATAAATCAACCATTTTGACTATTTTTTTTTTTAAAGAAAACCTTAGCGGTATAAGGAAACAAATCGGCCATTCTAAATGATTTCAATTTTATGAATTCACCGTAATTATTCGTTAAATACACGTGATAGCCATCTATGGAAATTGAATATGATTTTTTTACAAACAAATCGAAATGATTAATGTAATGCAGGATAAGATCAACAGCCTATAAATTGATCTGCAATGTGGCTTTATATTTGGAGTTGATCTGATTCCAATCTAGAGAAAGGTTAACAAGGTTATATATTTGTTTGTGGATCAAAGGTGGCAGTTGAAATGAACAAAATTTTGGTGATTGGAATTGCCCTTCTGGTGTGCTTCATGCTCCAATGTGAAGAAGTCCATGGGAAAGAATATATAGTGGGAGATGAGAAAGAATAGAGGGTAGACCCTAACTTATCTCACTGGACTGATGGAAAGAAGTTCAAGACTAGAGATGTTTTGGGTAAGATATATACTTTGCTTTTCTTTTCAATTATTTGTTTTCAAGATTAATCACTAGCTAGCTATAAATTTTTTTGTTTTGCCGATTTTGGAAATAGTTTTCAAATATACAGATCCTGCTCTCTTCGTAGCTGGTATACAAGACAAGCATTTTTATGAAATTTGTGACATATATATATATATGATGGTGTGACAATCACATATGGCTTAGGAAATGATCATGTGGTATTAACGGCAGACACAAAATACTTCGCAGCTGCTGATGTAGACTATTGTAAAATCGGAGTGAAAATTAAGGTTGATGTCGAGTAGCTAAATAAATTTAAACATGTGTTACATTATTATGCTCCATTGTCTAAAAAATATATGTTATGATGAAGAAATAATTGAAGCAGGATTTTCATTTCCAAAATTGGTAATTCTCCATTTTGAATTTTGTTTTTCTTTTGTGGATTATTTTTGGGATGGGGAATGCTATTTTTTGGTCCACCTCCTATATAGGAGAAAATTTTCGATAGAGCTAGAGCCGGCTCTAACCCGAGATCAAATCTTCTGTACCTAAAAAGGCATATGTGACCGAAACAAATCCTCTTCGGATCTATCCCACCGGGGATCAAGTGATCCCGGCCCTCCAAATTTCATCCAACGGCTAAAAGAAGAGAAGCTTTTAAAAAACATAATAGTTTCTGGCCGTTGGATGAAATTTGGAGGATCGGGATCACTTGATCCCCGGGCTCCAGTGGGTTAGATTCAGAGAGGATCTGTTTCCATATGTGACCTTCCTAAAAACTTGACATGTGTCCATTCACTTGCTAACTTTAACACTGTTAACTTCTCCGTTATCTCCTAAGTTAATTAAATTGGACAATTGTTCGACATATTAATCGATTTTTTTTGTGCTCCTTAATTACTTCGAACATGTAAGACTCTAAAATGACAAGAACAAAGATAAAGTTTTATTGGTCAATTAATTGGGAAATACTACTGGTTATTGGTTATGCAGACCAGTACGACATGGTGACAATATTAATTCACGTTTTGTAATATGAATGGATATTAAGGGTTTTGCTCTATGGATGAATTAAGGAGTTTTACTTTACTGGATGACATTAATCTCATGAGCAGAGCTAGGATTCGAAACCTTGAAGGTAAAAACTTAACAATTTAGAAGACATTGAGCAAGATGAAACCATATATACACAGATCATAGTAAACATAAAGTGTAAATGGAAGTTAGAAACCAATTGTCGATCGAAAAAATTATAATTGGCTAACTATTCATTTTGTAATATGAAAAAAAAATAGACTAAAATGATTCGAATGGCAAAGTAAAAGCAGATATCATGAAATTGAAAGTGATCCTTGAACTCCAGATTGTGGAGCCAAAAATATTCACAAGGCGACACATAGATTTTTGACAAAAGAAGACAAAACTACCCTTGGGGCATACCGGGATTCCTACGCGCAAGCAGCAGACAATTATCCCTCAACCAAGTCAAAAATGCCCAAAATAGGCAACAATTCAAAACCTATTTCATTACAAGGTAATTCCCAAACACATTCCTTTTAAATTATGTTAATTGGCTAATTAATAGGTTTATTGCCTAATTAACCCATTAATTGTCAATTAAATCATCCATTATATCCAAATAACCACAAAATACATCCAATTCAACCCTAAAACTAGTCAAAGGCCGGCCACACCCTTTGCTCTTCACCTTTTTTATGTTTTCCACTTTATTACCCAAATTAAGTTAGTCAATTAATCCTATAACCCCCCATTTATTTCTTTCATGTTTAATTAGCCAATAAATTGGCTAATTAAACCAAAAGTTTCACCAAAAAAACCCACATTATGGCCGGCCACTTTCTCTCCAAAGTGGACCGGCCTAGCCTTATAAATAGGCTCTCATTTTCACCAAACACTAATTCCAACACTTTGGCAAAAATCCCAAAATTCTCTAAACACTATTTCTCTCTAAATTGTAACTTTGGCATCGGAGGTTCTTCGGCCAAAGCCCCCCCATTCATCGTGGGCGCGTGAGGCTCTTGGCCTTAACCTAAAGTGTTAATTGTTTTATAGGTGCAAAATTGTCCAAGATCAAGGAGGAAGAAATTTGCATCCACACAGATTTTCTCAAAATCACTTCCATAAGATAGCCCACTTGGTAAACATCAGTATATCATTTAGAAGGAGGAGGAGAGAGAACGCGTTCAGATGAAAGGAAAGAGGAATAATCTCTGGCCGCATGATCTCAAACAACGGCCACGATAAAGCCGTCCAGATGAATCCCCAGAGACAGATCCGAAGAGGATCCCACTTAAGAATAAGTCAGCAACATAAATAGCACCCTGTTAACATAATCTGTTCTTTGACTTGGCAGGATTAAAAACCCTACCCTTTTTCCTTATTTCGCCTGCATTTCCAACCAGAACCTGGAGTATCCGAAGCAAGCTCTTGGTCAATCTGCAAAACACCTCTTTTCAAAAGAATATGGTTGTATAACTGGTTATCGAAAGTGGAAGATGTGTTTTGGTCCAAAAATGTAGTGGGGTTGCTGCTAGCTGCACAGAGTGTGCTCAAATTTGAAACCAAAGCTGGATCCATTGAGGGATCAGGAGATCCTGACCCTTGAAAATCTGAGAGCCTATCTTGGAAAAAATTAGGGGTTTTTGAACATTAGTCCTTGCAAAATATTAAAATTAAAAAAAAAACCTGGTGCTAGATTACATATTCAATTTAATCCCTTGAAGTGTATTTTTATCAAAATTTATATTCAATTTTTGTTTTTAATGTGTATTTTTATTTAATCTATCCACATTAAATTTTAATTTTATTAATATGCACATATAGTTCTTTAATTATAAATGAACATAAATGAGAAAATATTAAAAAGAAATTTGTGATACAAAATATATAAATACATGATTGTACTGTGCCGAAATATATATAATTGACTTTTTTGTACCAACATGATTGTACCGAAATATATTATAATGAACCTAAATGTATATACCGAAATATATTATATTGAATTAATGTACCTAAATATCAATACCGAAATATATGTACCGGAATATATGTACCGAAATATACGTACCGAAATGTATGTACCGAAATATACGTACCGAAATGTATGTACGAAAATGTACGTACCGAAATGTATTATATTGAATTAATGTACCTAAATGTCAATACCGAAATGTATGTACCGGAATATATGTACCGAAATATACGTACCGAAATGTATGTACCGAAATATACATACCAAAATGTATGTACCAAAATGTACGTACCGAAATGTATTATATTGAATTAATGTACCTAAATGTCAATACCAAAATGTATGTATCAAAATGTATGTACCGAAATGTATGTACTGAAATATTGTATATTGAATTAATGTACCTGAAAGTCAATACTCAAATGAGAAGTATGAGGTTTGAATCTCGTGGATGATGAATTCAATACCAAATTAAGTTGTCCATTGTGTGGCTTAGCCGAACTCCGCTCGCCTTAGTGTAAAATATATCGTTGTACTAAAAAAAAAAAAACTTAAATGTGTGTACCAAAATGTATGTACTTAAATGCATATATATGTTTGTATCGATGAATTAATGTACCTATAAGTTTGTATCGATAGATATACCGAAATATTCAAATATATTAATGTACCTAAATGAAGAACATCCAAAATTGTTATCAGACTATATATTATAAAAAAAAAATTAGTTGCCTAAATGTAGACATTAAAATATTATGATAAATGAAATGAAAATTAAATTTAAATGTAATTAATACATTAAAATAGGAATAAAAAGATAAATAAAACATCAAAATATAACTAATAAATGAGATGATTAAATGTACAAGGGACTAAAATTGGATTTTAATCTTACACAGGTTATAGTCTAAAACTCATTTTTTTTTAAGGATTAAAATGAAGTTTTCTAAAAAAATTACAATGGGCAAATTCAACCGTGTGTGCACCCAATAGGGTCACCATGTCATTTAGGGTCATTCCTTTGGCAATGAAAGCTTCCAATGCCTCATAAACTAAAAATGATGGACTGTGCAACTTAACGTTGTTAGGGTTTGATACGAGCCCATCACGGCGTCCGGTTGGAGCAATATAGTTTGGCCCTCTTGCAAGAACCACTGAATCTCCGGTTGCTAGGGTTACGATATCGGAGCATACAGTTGAAGGGCATGCAGCCTCCAGGCTTTTCTTAATCTCGTCAATAAGCTCGTATCCTCGTACAGTCAAGTTTGGCACTGCCAATTTTTCAGATGGCTTCCTTCTTGTTGAATATATAAGTATGGATGCATCACAGCCCTACAATACATATAAAAGTGCATTGGTTAATTGTGCACGTACTTATCAACTTCCTTCTTTCTCTTTCGATGAAATGGTATTTAAGGAAAAACCCACCACGACTGAACCAGACACGGCCGAACAAGAAGCCGACACATTTCAAGACACGGAAGGGATGCCTGAACAAGTGCCTGAGACCCAACCGACTCGTCAATCCCTCAGGCCTTAAGGTAAAAAGGCAACTACACTAAATATATGGAGGAACTTGCTCGCCAAGGTGAACTGAACATGGCACGGGTAAAGGCTAGAGATGAGGAAAAAGTTGCTGCTATGGCAACAATAATAGCATCTACTGAGGCCCGTGATGCGGCGGCTGAGAGACAAAGAGAAATAGTTAATCGAGAGAACGAGCTGGTTAGACAAGCACTTCATCGAGAAAATGAAATGCTTAGAGAAAAAAGGATGGCTCTAGCAGATCGTGACATTATGAGCAAGTCTCTAGTAGGACTGTCTCCGAATTCAAAATATTTTTGGACATCGGAAAAAAGAGATGTCATGCGAAGGAGGCGTGCAAGAGATGCGGAAACAAGTCAAGGGGGTTCTAGCTACACAAATCATAGCAACGAAGATCCTAGCACCACATATCCTAACTCCAGAGACTTTGTATAATTTTTATGTAATTTCTTTTTTTTTTAGAATTTTATTTAATTTCTTATGTAATTTTTATGTTTTTTCTTTTTTTTTCTTTTGAACTTTATTTAATTTCTTATGTAATTTTTATGTAATTTCTTATTTATTTTTAAAATTTTATTTATTTTTATTTAATTTATTATGCAATTTTAATGTAATTTTTTTTTTGTACTTTATTTAAACACATGAAATAAGATTACATAAACTCACCAAATAAGATTACATAAACTCACCAAATAAACTTAAAAACAAAACACACTACATATAATTACATAAACTTAAAAAAAATACACTTTATTCTTCAACCACAAGCCTCATTTTAATTATCTTCGCCTTCATGCAATCCCCACTGGTGCTCAATCAAGTCATTCTGGTGGGTTACGTGCTAGTATGGCTCTTGCACATCAGTGTACCGTTGAACGATCAATTCATTGTAACGTCCATCACGTTCCAACGGCTCGTGTTGCACGGGATCTTCGGTCCGGTCATGATCACAGTAGATACGTGTTCTTGAGTTGTTCATCGGATCCAGCTTGACACGCCCCGACCCTGATATTCCCCGAATACCAGGACAGGCACGTGCTGGCCGACACCCGGGGGTGACGAAAGCCATTAATTGATACAAAAGCTAAGAATAAGAAATAAATACAGGTTATGAATTTAAAAAAACAATGAATTAACAATTTAGGAACGTGTTCAGAGCATATAACTAAACCTAGTCACTAACAAGAATTAAGATAAGATTGAATGAACAAATGAGTGGGTCCTACCCCGAGAGGACTCGAAGATGCCGCTGCGGAAGTACCTTGATGCCGGGATTATGTGCCTTCATCCTAAGTCCTGAATGGGGGCGCAAAACAAGGGTGAGTGGACCAAGCTTGTATATATACATAGTACAAAAACAGTTATGAACATACTAACCCCCACAGTTTAATAATGAAAACTACTAGAATAATAAGTGATAAGCTTTTCAGAAAACTCTAGCATGCCATAAAACAATTCATATATCCATCTGCAAATCAATCTCAGAAAATCATATCATAAATCATATCAGAAATCGTATCAGGAGTCGTATCAGAAATCGTATCAGGAGTCGTATCAGAAATCGTATCAGGAGTCGTATCAGAAATCGTATCAGGAAGCATAACACAAGTTGTGCTGCTAGTGAGTGCACTGAATAATAATACTCCCGGCCCAATGCCTGCACCTCAGTCTCTGTGCCCGTAGCCAGAGATATCTCCCTCCCGGCCCAATGCCTGTCTCCGTGTCCCTCAGCCTTTCGCTAGGGATTATTTCTCCCAGCCTCAATGCCAACACCAGATCCTCGCCCCAGGCGGCATAGTGTTCACTAGGTACGCACAAAACATAATTCATCTCTAAAATACAACTTCGTAGCATAAATTCATCGATCCTCAATACTACGAAGAGGTGTTCGAAAGTCATTGAAACACATTCTTAGCATCCTATCGTCATTGATCAGATAGTCTACCAGAATGAGGGTTCTATAGAAAATACGATATAATGGAAATAGTTCAAAACATATATATATAATCATGTATAATCAAATCATCATGCTTCCTGTAAAGTATTCCTCAAATCAATAATTCTGCAAGGCATGCTATTAAATTATGCAATTCTATCAATAAAACATGCAAATTTTCGAAGGTGGTCCACTCACAGATACTCCGTCAAAAGCTGCGCCACTAGCGAAGACAAAAACGTTGCGATAATTGCCCCTAAGTACAAGAACGTACAGTTAATCAAACTACCCAACAATATAATTCTAGGAAATGGAAATGGGCCTTGGATTTGGATAGGTTAGGATCAAGAGGTGGTTTTGGGCTTAAGCCTAAACCCATACTTATACACACACGGCACACACACCACCCATTCACACACATACATACACAACACATACTCACAGAGCTGCACCGCACAACGCACACACTGTACACTTCATACAGTACACAAACATACACAACACACACGTGCACCATACACCATCACACTTACTCTCACACACACACACTTGCACGGACACCAACATGCCAAACACACACACAGACAGCATGCACATATATATATATAGATACATACATATAAACACACACGCATGCACAGCATGCATATATATATATAAGCACACACACGCACAGCATCATGCATATATATATAATCACACACACGCACAGCATCATATATATATATATATATAATCACACACACGCACAGCATCATATATATATATACATATATAAACACACAGACACAGCAAGCATACACGGCATGCACAGCATTCTCTCACACACACACGGTTCACGCGCACACACACCACACACTCACAGTACCACCAACAAATAGCAAGGTAAAATAACTACCTGGGTTTAGGTTCGAAGGGATCCGCGCAATCCACAGCAACAAACTCGCCGGAGTTCGTTGTCGGAACCGGGTTCTTGGCATAGAAAAGAGATAAGGTCAAAACCCTCGATTTTGACCACAAAACCAACACAACAGTGTGTAAAATAGCATGATTAAACCCAGAAATTTGAAGAAGGAACACACTTCTCACCTGGGTTCGAGTTTTAGAGCTTTGAAGCTCTCAGCTTCAATGGCAGAAAAGTCCACAGTGCTCTGATGGCGCATGCAAGGGTACCATTGAGTTCGTTAGGTCTCAAGGATTCCAAATATATGGTTTTTGGGGTTTGATTTGTGAAGGAAGTGAGGTGAAAGTTAGAGAGAAGCTCTCGGAGCTTAGAGAGAGTGTGAGTTCCTGAGAGTTAGAGAGAGAGAGTGTTGGTTTCGGGTATTAGAGGGAAAGAGAGACTGGAACCAAGATAGGTGTATAAAAATAATAAGGTGGGTCCCACGACTCACTATTTAATATAAAAAAATAATAAAAAAACAAGTTTTTAAATAGAAATGGGTGGGGTGTTACACAGCTCATATTCATCGATGACTTCATATCATACTTATCTTCAACAATCATGCTGTGGAGAATAATACACGTCATCATGATGGATCGAAGAGCCTCGACATCAAACATTTTAGCTGCAGCCCTGACAATCACCCAACGAGCTTGCAGGATACCAAAACAATGCTCGACATCCTTCCTACACCCTTCTTGACATTTTGTGAAGTGTTTTTCCTTTTCAGTCTGTGGATGTGGCACTGTTTTGACAAACGTTGACCACCTTGGGTAAATGCCATCTGCAATGTAGTATGATCCCTCGTATTGGGTACCATTAACCCAATATGTGCATCTCGGCGATTTTCCTTACAGCAGTTCGTCGAACACTGAGGATTGGGTAAGGACATTTAGGTTATTCTGAACTCCTAGAACACCAAAAAAAGCATGCCAAATCCATGTATCAAATGAAGCCACCGTTTCCAAAATGATGCTTTTGGCTATTTTTCTGTCGCCATAAGCACCTTGCCACGCACTTGGACAGTTTTTCCAAGTATAGTGCATGCAGTCGATGCTTCCAATCATGCCAGGGAAGCCTCGCATCTCACCTTTCCTCAGAAGACTTCGCATGTCCCTTGGCGTAGGTGTCCGGAGGTACTCATTGGTGTAGAGGGCTTCAATTACAGAGCAAAACCGCATCAGGGACTCCAGAACAATTGTTCTTCCCATTCTCGCGATCTCATCCACTTGATCTGCAGATGCTCCATATGCAAGCATTCACAAGGCAATCATAATTTTTTGCTCGGGAATAAGACCTAGAACATGAAAAACATCTTCTTTTTGCACAAAGTATGGATCATGGTTGCAAATAGCACTCATGATTTTGTCAAACAAACTTCGTTGCATTCTAAAACGACGTCTAAAAACATGATCAGGGAATATGTTGTTGGGAATAAAATAATCTTCCAAGAGATCTTTACCTCGTCTTTCCATTTTTCTATCGAGGTTTGCAGCACGTGTGGGTTTGGCTATCTGACCAACGGCTTTCATGACACGGCGAGAATGTGAGGCCCTCTGCCTTCTATGGTGATTATCCTCATCCTCCTCCATGAAGAAAGCCTCATCTCCACCTCCACCTTCCTCGAGATTGGCCAATTCTGCCTGTTGTGCCAACAACCTTTTCTGTTGCTCCTGCAATTGTTTATACACTTTCCTTGAAGAAGACATTGTAATAAGAACCCAAGATTTGAAAACGATGAACAAGGATTCTGAGCTAAAAAGAAGGATTGAGCTTGGTGTGAGGATGAATGTAAGGATGTAGGGTTTATATGGACAAAAAAAGAAAGGATAAGGTTCTGGACAATGCCACATGACACTACGTGATTGGTTGAAAATCTTATTGAAAATTTGGCTAAATTATTGTAAACCGGAAGTGACACGTGGCGCATCGGGATTGGTCGAAAATCTTATCGAAAATCTATCCACAAAATAGTTCGTTCGGATAATGACACGTGGCATGACGTGATTGGTTGAAAATCTTATCGAAATCTTGGCTAAATTATTGTAAAACGGAAGTGACACGTGGCGCGTCGGGATTGGTTCAAAAGCTTAGCGGAAATCTATTCACAAAATAGTACGTTCGGATAATGATACGTGGTGTGATGAGATTGGTTAACAATCATATTCGAAATTAAAACTATTTTATTTTTTTATTCTTTTAGAATAAATTTAAAAATATTTTAAATGAGCTGGGTGCCAGCGCATTTTGTAGGGGTGGAGATTGTTTGTGCCAGCGCATTTTTTCACTGGGTGCCAGTGCATTTTTTTAAGGGTGGAGATACATTGGCCTATTACTGTTCACTGGAATGGATAAATGGGCTGGGTGCTGGCACAAAGTCCTTAGGGGTGGACTTGCTTTTAGAAGAACACTCATTCACAGCAGACTTTGAGCTTGTTTATGGAGTCGTATGCTCAAGTCTTGTAAGTTGTCAGTATACGTACTTGCACATAAGGAGGCTGCAATGGTTTTAGGACACCGTCTTTGACGTGCATATCACACAATGGTTACCCTATTAGACTAGGATCAGGGAAGCAAGTTATGAAGATTGGAGAAGAAGCTTAAAGAAATCGAAGAAGAAATTGCAAAGTTTGCAGAAAAGAGAGCTTGAGAGTTTGGAAGATGAAATGTATTTCCTTGATTGTCCAGCAATCTTACACTTAGCTATATGTATTGGTTTATTACATGGCTTGTAATATAAGCTAAGACTATGTATAATATTCTCTTCTAACTTCCTTAACCACTCTTGACAACCTATATAACAACTTTGTAACAATCTTTATAACCCCCTATCTTATCTTATGACAAGTGGCAATAGCTAGACCCTTGATATATCTTCACTTGGATCCTTAGCTTTGTCTTTGCCTTCACTCTTACATCCCCCTCAATCTCATGCATAAGTGAAATAAGCATGAGATTGCCAAAGTCTTGCTGAAACAAGGGTGCAGAAAACCCTTAGTGAGTATATCAACTGAATGATCTGCAGATGAAACATGTTGCGCATAAAGATCTCCTCTTGTAACTCTTTCTCGGACAAAGTGATAGTTTATCTCAACGTGTT